ACATCCGCTCCTCGTGCCAGCGAGGAGGGCCAAGGGCTGGTGGATGGTGCCTGGGCTGACTCAGACTACTGGCAAAGCAATACCAGCGCTGGGTTGCTGTGACTCATGAAAGATTTTAATTTTATTGGGTTTTTTTAATCCTGATGCAGGCACTTCTTGGATTAAGACTTATTAAGATCTGGCATCAGGGATACAGCTTTGCAGCTGACTGCAAAACAGCAAAGTGAGCAGTGTGAGGGAGCAAAGTATGTCACGGTGCTAAGGGGCAGCACTGCATTTTCTGGTGGCATTTGGGTGCTCAGTCTTCAGGTGGGACCCAGCAGATTTGCCAGGTGAACTCACAAGTTCACCTTTTACAGTCCTTTGGTTCATGCACACTGGGTGCTGCTGGTTCGTGCTCCATCTCTGGTGTGAAACAAGGGGCCATGGCTACTGTGGGAGGGTGCAGAATACATCTCCTCAAAGGGATGAAGCCCCATGAATTGTCAGCAGCATTAGCTTAATCCTAGAAAAGCCACGTTGGAGTAGACATCCTTGCAGAATGAAGAGTTTCATGCCTGCAGTGCTAGCAAATAACCATGAATGAATGCTACTTTTGGCCCTGCAGCATGAAAAAAAACCAGCACTGGGACAGCAAACTGCAGCTCAGCAGCTGTAGAGAAAAACAGACTGATGACACACACCATATTGCTGTGCTCCATCAAGTTCCTATTGTCCTACAATAGCAAGTCCTTTGTATTTTTCAAAAGGCACATAATTGATTCCAGCACGCACAGAGTTTTACCAAAGTGACAAAACCCACTCATTATGTCCGTTAGTCAAAGCCTGGCTTTTAATAAAGTTTCAATTCACCTATTGAGATGACAGATGAGGAAACAAATATAACAGGAACCTTTTAAACAAATTATTTTTGGAAGCTGTGTAAAGCTGTGATGCGCACATTGCCAGACATAAATGATACTCAGAGGAGAGTGAGTTTCACCCAGGGCAGCTGTTGTTATGGGTGATGCTCATTACTTTTGATCAGCTGCTGGAGAGTGTTGGTTTTGTTGTGGATGGTGGTTGTTTTTCTTTGACACAGCACACGGATGATTGTGGCCATTTATCTCTAACTATAATAACTATAACAAATGCCACACATGTCTGCATATATACCAATACCAGCGGGGAGTTATAGTTGTTCCACTGAACCACCTAGTGCTTCACAATTGTAGCACCCTAGTTTTGCCCCAAGGAAAAAGGAAAAAAGGAAAAAAATATATTCCTCTCTCTCATATGGGACAGAGACTCACAACACACGTGAGCAAAGCTGCCTCTTCTACATGTCCACCTTGGTGACAGCATGCATGGGCCTGGACCTACAAATTTCAGCAGCTGGCAACAATAATCATCTAAAAACCACGACTATGAGAGTTAAGGATGCGTTAACTGGTAAAGGGACAGCGTTAAAGGGAATGGCACAAAGTCAGACACAACTTTGCTCATACAGCACACGTGCACAGCCATCTCCTACCTCACACCAACCTCAATTAAATACTAAAAAACACTGACACAGGTATCGTCCCGTCAGGTGCAAGCTGGACAGAAGTTGCTGTCCCACAGTGACGAGGGCCAGAACGAGCACAGGCTGTGGCAGCCTCACAGCAGGTGCTCCAGGGAAGCAAAGCATCCTCGGCTCTCCCTGGCACCTACAAGCCACAGCCTTAGAAGACAACAAAGCCTTGGGGTGGAAGATGACAGAGGGTCATGGAAGGGCTGATGGGTAGAGAAATCCAGCATCATTCTGCTAACCCATCTGAGGCTGAGCAAAGCCCCTCAGTTTCCTAGCACAGCTAAGCCAGCACCTACAAGAGTCAAATCCACATAAGCTGGGACGCAGAAGGGGCAGGGACAGGGATCTGAAGCTTTAAGTCTGTGTTTGCTATCAGGCCACTTCCAAATGCTGACATCCACTGGGGACTGGCTGCTTTACAGGGAGACCTGCCCCCACTCCAGGACACATCTCACATTTTGTTCTAGTCCCTGCCTCTTGTTTACTGCTGTTGGCACAGGCATCCAGGCAGTCTGTTTATTTATTGGCATTTTGTTGACTTACACATTAATGTCTTCTTTGTTACAGAAAGCCTCCAACAAAACTAGAGTTGTCAGTCAGCTCCTTGAACCCTGCTTGGCTCTCAACAGTCTCATTACAGCCGTATTTAACAAACAGAACTTGTGGGCCAACTTTTATTACCCAGTGCCAAATGTGAGCTTTATTTTTTTGTCTTAAAATGTTTTTTAAACTGCATTAACTCCACGCATCCCAAACATCTAACCATGAAATCTCTTCCTGTATGGAACTGCAGTGCAGAGCACCATCTCCTGTGCACAGCCAAGGGAGAGATCTGCCTGAGGGTGGCCAGGCCCAGCACTGCACCAGCCAGCAGGACATGCTGCAGTGCCCAGAAATGGGGTTCCCTGTTGTTTCATTTAAGGACAGCCCCACCAGTGGCTTCCCACCAGTGAGTGCTGGAACAGCAGCCAGTAACACCAGTACTATTTGGGATAGATGGTGCAGCCACTGTGAGTAATAAGCAGGCTCTGCTCAGTCTCTCCCACTTTTCTCCTTCTACCCTTCCTGACTCTGTCTCCTGTGCCTCCAGCCGTCTCTCCTCATCAACTCCTCTTCTCCAGCTTCTGCAGCCACTGCACACAGCAACAGCAAAACCACCTTCCCATGCCAGAGCAGCTGAACAGCCTGCAACAGCAGCCTGGCAAGATCCAGGAGATACACAGTGGCCACAAGGCTGGTCCTGACAGTTTTGGCTCATTTTTCCATCCTGAATCAAGAGGGAGGGTGGCCAAGACTCCTCCTGGGACAGTAGTTGGCCATGAAATGACACACTCATCTTCTTCCTCATCTTCTGTACAAAGGCTGCAAAGAGTATGTCCCCCTTCTGTGTCCCATCTTCAATCTCACACGTTTCCATAAAGCAGGTTTTTTTTTTAAAGCTACATAATCATCTGTTAGTATATTTGTTTTTAGTATGAGCGTCACAAGGATGAATGAGTTATTAGGGTTAAGTTTACCTACTGAAGAGCAGGGGACAGAGATCCAGAATCCCCGTTGTGCACCATGGCCTCAGGACAATTTATGCCTTGTGCTCACCCACTCATCAGAGGGGAAAAGCAAACAAATTATTCCTACTGACAATGCTGTAGACATGATGAATTATAGGAAGAGGTAAGAAGCACACATTTTGTACCTGAACAAAACAAAGCAACGGTGCGATTTATATATAATAGGTAATTTTTATTTAAAAAAAAAACATTGCAACTGACAGAAAAAATAAACTCCATGAAATGTGCCATACATTCAAAGAGATGTATTTAAAGTAATTGATTTCTTATTCTCTGAGGTGATCATTGAAACAGATACTTCCTGACAATCACAGAACAAAACCAAAGTTCTGTAACACTTTGTCCCTAAAGTACCTTGCAAGATGAAGTTAAAGAGTTCCTGGCCAAGAGTCCTGCCTTGCTAAATGCCACATACAGAAGATGACTCAGACATGGTTTCACTGGCTTCTCTTCCAGCATTTGCAGCTCTGCTGTGAATGAGTCTGGTCTGCAGAGCTCGCTGGTTTGGGTACTGATGACAGACTCAAGAATCTGCCCAAGGAAGAGTCCCAAAAGGAAAAAGCAGAAGTTGTTATATCCTCAGTAATATCTGTAGTTCAAAGCCAAAGGGGTGGCCAAAAGTGTGCATTCCCAGGTGAAGCTATAACATACAGAAGTATGTTTCTTACAAACCATTAATTTCTTACATCCCCGTTTCACAGAGTATTAGAAAAAGACCACCACGTACAAAAATCTTACCATTACAAGTTATTAAAAAAAACCTTCAGACCATTAAAACACACAAGAAAGTGTTTGTCTGCAAACAGTAGAAATACAATCCTCATTAAAGCAGCATACCGAAGAAGCCAGTTGTTAAGTAAGTTTTCAATTAAAAAAGACAAAAGCCCAGATGTTCCTGTAACACAACTAGAACATTGGAGAAGAGAGAGGAACAGAACATTCATAGTCTGCCATGCCGAGTACATTGTCTTTGTAAGGTCACTTCAGGCCTAAAAGAGTACGGTATTGAACAAGGAGCATGGAGTCAGTGCCTGGGCAGAGGGTGATTCCCCTCCACTGGACAAGTTTGCCACAGATCAAGACAGTCCAGACTCAAATTGTGAGGTTCCCAAATAAAGCACAGCAGGGGAAGTATCTGATTTACACGCTGAAGTTATCAAATCTCAGACTTGCTGCCACCGATAAGAAAACATAAACTTTTGGGGCTATTCTCAGAGAAAAAAAGGGATTCTGAAAAGTCTGTGCCAGCTCTTGCCTGCGGTCAGACAGGACTCACCGGGCAGAGGGAGGAAGCCTCATGAAGAGGGAAGCAGCAGAGGCATGGCTGTTCCTGGGACTAAGGGTCTTGCTATGGTCACCTCATACCACCTGGGGTGGGTTTATGACTTACTTCAGCTGGCAGAAGCCCAGGGGCTCAGTCACAGCCCCCCGTGGGCCCTCACCAAACTGGAGCTGCTGGTGACGTGCAGCTCTCAGAAAGTGCACAGTGACCTGTGCTGGCAAACAGCCATTAGAGACAACATCTGCATAAACTCTGCTCTTTCAGCTTTTTCAGTCCCTCTGTCTAAGTACAGACTGCTGATTCTTCCGAGAGCCTAAAAGTTCACAACAGTAAAAGGAAAATGTGGACTCCTTCCCTGCTGGGTCAACGCAGGAAAGAGCCCAAAACATAAACTGGTTATTGTTTGGCATTAACAACATGAACGTGAATCTCAGCCTCAACAAATCAAGCTGTCATGTGCTAATCCTACTCCACAGGATACAGCTTTTTCTCTGTCTCAAACTTTTCAATATCTGAGCCAATGGAAGTGGACCTGCTTCTGCCTTTATGGCTCAAATGCCATCTAGAAATACTTGCTTGGCAATACTGGCAACACTGCCAATATACAGACTTTATATTATATAAATAGGTAAAAGTTTCAGACAAAATATCCTATAATTTCTGTGGTGTAACATTTTTAAATAGCATTAAAAACACAAACCATCCAGCCCTTGTGATTAAATATACAAACATCTGTGAGTTGATAAGGCTCATAGGTACTTATGCAAAAATAAAGTGCCCCTCCCCCCCACCGAGAAACAGTTCTGTACAGCTAAGTCTGAAAACAGAGCGAGCAAGTTATTTAAAATAAAACTTCCTGAGCTGGAAGTGCAGCCAGGTTTTCAACCCTTGTTCTCATTTCTCCTTTTGACTCAGCAGCCCCAGAGTATTTACAAGTGGAAGAGGAGCCCTGCCATGGCTGACTCCACAGCACTGTTGACCTGCAGCCTGTCCAGCTAAGTTCCTCACAGGGCCTTGGTGCTGGCTGGGTGTGCAGTGTGGGACACAGGCTTCTGAGGGTAGTAGCTGTACAAGTAAACCTGCAACAGGATAGCGATGTCCACAAAAACCTGCAGGAGTCCACAGATGGAGAACTGGAAAGGGGCCTGATTCAGGATGAAGTAAACAGTCTTGAACGTGTCCCCACTGGTCCACATCAGCACCATCTTGATGCTGAAAGACAGAAAAGAAGGGAAGGGTATTTACTGAGAAGAACCTGCCTTCAGATTAGACCTGCTGTGCCAGAGGATCCCCCCCTTTTTCAGCAAGGCTTTATAACTCCACAGTGGGTTGGGACTCCCCTCAACATGGGCAGATAGCATGCCCAGCCAAGAGGTGCGGCACTGTACCTGGAAGGGAGCACCAAGTTCTCTACTCCACAGACTGCAGCACTCTTATCTCAGCAATTACAGCTCCAAATACCTGTGGCTATGAAGGTACCCAACATTTTAAAGTAGCCAGCTAGGACATTTGACCCAGTGGTGCTCTGTAAACGTGACTGCCACATGCTGACATCACGGACCATAAACCAAAGTAATGCAGTGCATGGAAAACAACAGCAATTCATCCCAGAAGTTGCTCCTTGCGTGTGTGCCATTTTGGGCTCACGCAAGGTGAGGTAACACGCAGACCGCTCCCTCACGCACGCACACCTTTTTACCGCGTGCTGAAACAAACACTCCTGGTGGACAGAAGAAACCACCCCCTGCTGCAAGAAAATGCAAACCCAAAACAAGCAGAAAGACAGATTGTCCAGTAATACAGAAAGAGGAGAAACGTCACGCCTGCAGCTGTTACTGGAAGGATGAGCATCACTAGGGATTTTTATCAAGGACATGGACCAAGAGCAATGCTCTTGATGGCCATCCTTGCTTTCATCTTGCTGTGCTGCTGAGCCATCCCCCGTCCTGCAGTCCAGTTTCTGCTCCCCCGCATCAGGAGAAACTCTGGGGAATAGAAGTGAGTTCAAATACACCAAATTTTTTTCAGTGTCCTCTACAAAATGCGAATAACCAAACCTTGAAGGCTGTTTCTGAGCTTTTCATGCACTTCTATCAGGAGAGCTTTTTAAGTGGCTGGATAAGCGGTAGTGGACAAAAGCTTTGCAGTTCACAGTGTGAGCACTGCGCGTGATTTGTCATAATTACAAGCAATTACATTTTGCCAGCAGAGACTCCAATTCATCAAACACAGTCAGGTCCATGCAGCAGGGTAGGACTTCATGTTCATTTTTCAAGCATTCAGGCAGGAGCCAGCACAATCTGTATTTTGGACAGAAGCACGCAATGCTGCCGCAAGCCAAATGCTGCAGCCCACTCTATCCCCATATGGGAAGGGTGGCCATGAGCATCAGTTTATACAGCCCCACTGAACCGTGGGAACAAGAGCTTTTCTGTAACTCAGGTCATGTAGCCGAGAGCATTACACAGGTCTGCAGTTAGGACCTTCCAAAGAGTCTCTGTCTGGAAGCGCAAGCAAGGACAGAGGGTTGAGTGAGCAGTCACTCCCCACTCAAGGTCATCCTAAAAATGCAAATAAATAATCAGAGAAGGAAAACAACTGCTGAACCCACAATATCATTTGTGCTTGGTGCAAACAGCACGTACCACCTGCCCTGTGCACATTCCCAGTCACTCCAAGTCACCTTACTTCACACTTAGGGGAGCTTTTTATAGATGCAGGCAAGCGGTTGCAACTGATTGAGATTTTAATTAGGAAGGGCAATAAGCTCTGAGGGTAATAAAGCTGGTACCTTGCTTGCTGGCAGCAAGCTTTCTTTCTCCTCTAATTTTAAGCTCCTGATTGTTTGCTGGGTGTGAATCTGTCATGGCGTGGCTGGGGATCCTCTCTAAAAGCACATGCCCAACCTGGCCAATCAAACCAACTGCTCACTGTTGACAGAAAGGCAATTCATGGATGCCGTGGAACAGCTGAATGGGAATTTAAGGATATTTATCACAAATTCCCCACGGAGAAAGCTAGCTGGGTTTTTTTAAGTGATCCTGCAGTGCAGTGAAGATGTGGAGAACGAGATACACACTGCCAGAAAATGTACAGCCCACAAAGGAGTTAACCCCCACAAAGAAAGAACAATCAATCACTGAGGGACACCCGCACTTCAGCAGCATCACAGGAGCCGAGCACACCTCTAGCTGTGTCACATGCTGTGCCAAGTTTGCCAAAGCAATTCTGGGTTTTGCCAGGAAGCCACCAGTGAACTCCAAATTCTGCAATACTGGTTGAGTAACTTGGTTCATGCTCCAATAGCCTTTGCACGTTTCAGAGCCCCACTCTTCAGCTCATACACCTGACACTCAAGGAAATCATCATCATGCCTGGAGTTCTCACCAGGACACAACAATGCTCTACAGACAGGAAAAACTCAACTTGATATCGGCAAAACTGATTTTAAAAAATGCAACAGATAGATTAAAGAGCTACTACCACTGGTCTGCCACCGAACCAAAAAACGTGCATCCTCCTCTGTCCACTTGATGTCCCACAAAACTTAGTGCTGCAGTTGCACCGAGGTTCTCAGAGCACAGGGCTGATGCAAATCAGTGACTGTGGGAGTGCCAGATGCTCCCCAGAGGAGAGAGTGGGACTGAACAAAAGGGACACGTCCAGCACAGACTGGAAGGCGTGTGGGGTAACCACAAACCACTTGGCAAGACAATGGGGACAGAGATGCAAGACGTGAGACAAGGCAATGAAGATCCACAGAGAAAAGCCAAGGAGACATCAGAGAAGCCAAAAGGTTGGTCAGATGAGAACGGGACAGGAAAAAGAGACTGGAGCAGGACAGGGAATGACAGGAACGGAAAGAGAACTGGGAACATGGTACAAGTCCTTGGAAACAATCTCACTTTGGGATGGACAGACAGAGAAGTATAACCAGAGACAAAAATGTTCAGGTTGTATTGGGTTTGCATGCCTAGGTTTTGGTAGCGGGTGGGTGAGGAGGGCCTACAAAGCACCCTCTCTAATTAAATATGTGTCTCACTCCTCCAGTGCCCACCCCAGGGTGGGGAAAAACTACTGTTGTTGGCTCTCTCCCCTATCAACGAGAACCCATTTGCACACACAGCCTGGAAGTTTTAGCTCACTGAGAAACCCATCGAGTGTCCACGAGGCATCTCAGGGAGAACAGAGCTGCCCCTGCCCCCACTACCACATCACATCACAGGTCCGTACTTCAGGAGGCAAGGAGACAGGGTGAATGAAGTTTACACCATCGACATGGCTTCTGTCAAGTCCTAATTTCCAGATGCTCAGTACAACAGCAGTCCTCTCCCCTTATCTGGGCTTTGCAATTGTTCTGTCCCCGCTGCTCGCACAATGTTGCTCGCAGCGACGCAACTGCGCTCGCGTGACTACGCACGATGGATGGCGTGGACACACCATCCCTGTTCTCACACTCCCAGCCACCATGGTGCTTCAGGACGGCACAGAGAAACCAGTTTTTGTTCACAGCTGCTCAACTCCGTCCAGTCACGTGGGGAAAAGAGGCAGTTCCTGTATTATTCTCATTTTCCGCTGGACAGCTTTCCAGCCACTCATCCCCCAGCCTGTAGCGCTGCACGGGGTTGTTGTGACCGAGTGCACTTGGTCTTGTTGAGCCTCGTACAAGTGGCCTCAGCCCATCGACCTGCACTTTTGCAGTGCTGTCTGCCGGGTGCTGGGGGCTGGCAGGTCACAGGTGCACGCCTGGCCCTCGGCCTCAACGTGCAAGAGAAAATGCTGCGTTGTCAACACAGATGAGGCTGTCAGGGCCCACCACCAAGACCACCCGAGACTGGGCAGTCCAGCACGCGCAACGAAAATTTCGCAACCTATCTCACAAAGACCAACTTCGTGCTCTCTCTCCCCGACATCTGCAAAGTCACGCAAGTGAAGCTGTTCTGTGCAGCACTGGCTACACAGTAAAGCAGGATTTAGGAGTAAATACACGGGTATCTTTCCTGAAACAGCCCAGAACTAAGCTGGGGAGATGCAGAATGCAGGAAACGCTCACCTTGTTCCTATGGAGGATACAGTCTAGTAGGACAGCACAACTGCTCTCAGCACAAGTGAGCGAGCAGGTTAGGGGGGACTGTGCCACAGAGCAACCTGGGGATGCAGAAATAAACAAATGGCAGCATTTGGCTGGGTGACAACAGAGGTGCCAACTTGAGAAGCAGGAGGCAGGAACTGTGCTCAAATAGCTGGTATTGCCAGAGGCAGAGGCAGGCTTGCGGTAAAAATAGCACTTCCCAGTAATGTAAATCAGTACTGCGGTATCCAATGACAACAAACCTCCTAAAAAGCAAGCGCTTTCCCTACAGCTGAGCTCAGTACAAGGAGCTGCTAATGCGGTAGCAGTTAAGCGGCCAAGTGTGAGCAAATTGCAACTGACCACAAAGAGGGAAAAGCCGGAATTTTTCAACTGCTCTTAAAACCTGAAAGAGCACTTATTTATTCTGCCGTTGGAACTAAATTCTCAGAGACACCAGCACTGCTGATCAGACACTACACTAAGGGTGGATTGCTCCATGCCCTGCGGCGCTGCTGTTGTCTACCACTGGTAGTAGATTTCATAAGCACGCTGTTGCACCCATCTTCAGTCGCTGAATAAATAAATGACATGCTGGAAAACAGAATTCACTTTTCTCATGAAATTATTTGCTTCGTTCGTGTTCCTTGTGTATTGTGTATTAACTTGGAAGTGACAGCAACTAGAGGTAAAACCACCTATCAGTACATCGGTGCCTGCACTCAGCCAACAAAACCGTAATTTTTACAAAATACCTCTGGAATTATTCAGATGTAGAAAGAGCTTGTAAAGTGCACTCAAAAGAGAAAAAAAAATCCAAAACATTTTCCATTGCTTCTCTTTGTGGAACAGCCATATCAGCCAGATATTTAGGCTCAATCCACCGTATCCAGGATTAACGCTACTCCGATCAAAGCTTTTCAGCATTTTCATTCCCTCTGCTCAAAACCTGGCTGAAACAGTCTCAAGTCTCTGATTTTTCCATCAGAGTCTTTGCACACAACATTAGCCACTTCTTGGTCATTATGCCTTTTTTCTTCCTTCATCTGAAAGAACAAAAACTACCAAAAAGAAGGATCTTTTAAAAAAGATATGTGAAGCCCCTCTTCATCCTACCCAGGTAAACCAGGCTGCTTAAAGA